AACTTAGCCCAAATGGAATTCATTTCTCAACCTTCTTATCCTTCCAAACATAAAATATGGAACTGGAATTGAAAATGGAATTCCAATTCCTGAGTTTTTTTGTCTATCCAAACAGGCTGTTTATGTGTATGAAATAATGGAACTAATACTTTCATTTAAAAGGAACTTCAAATATTGTTTAGTTTTTCCGAAGCAATTTCTGCTGGCGATATGAGACTCTTGAATTTTGAGGCTCTTGCCGATCGAGTTCAAGAGTCATTGGTTACTACGGTGAAAATAGTGCTGCTCAGGTAGAGTATAGATTACTGTTTACACAACAAAAATAATCGTGTGCCACATTGATTATTTACAAGACATTAACTGTCTTTATAAGGCCTGATCAACAATAACAATTAATGTTATTTAAACTGGGCCTACGATACTAGATTTTTAACCCAAATGATAAGGCCTGACATGATGCGTGAGAATAAACTAAGTCTGGTGCCTCATCGCGACAAGCCTCCTCGCGTCAAGTTGGTAGACCCCCTTGTCGCGACAAACCTCCTTGTTTAAACACATCGCGAGTCTACAAGATATGTGGGGAGAAGGTCACAAAATAAACTAAGTTCAAGCGCCAAGCCTCCTCGCGTCAGGCCACTTCGCGAGTCCGCCAGGCCACCTCGTCGCAAGTCCGCCAAGCCTCTACTAAGTCTAAGTGCCAAGCCTCCTCGCGTAGAGTTTGGTAGACCGGCTCGTCGCAACAAGCCTCCTCGCGTAGAGTTTGGTAGACCGCCTCGTCGCGACAAGCCTTCTCGCGCCAAGTTTGGTAAACCACCTCGTAGCATTGTCATCATGTTTGACAAACCGCCTCGTCGCGAGATTCTAGAATAGCCATGGTAAAGGAAAGGGCAAGTAACAAGACGTTAGTTCCAAAAGGGAGAGCCGACGGTTTGATTGAGAAACTGTCAATTACTCCATGTTCAAGGACACGTCAGCCACGTCCGGGAAAGAAGGGAAGCGGTTCTTTTTGGAAGTTACTCTCCAAACAGTTTTCTATGACGGTTATCACCTCAAGCCTATAAATAGGAGGAAGAGTTATCAGAGAAAAGGTTCGCAAAAATCACCACTCGACATCATTTGTCAAGTTTTACCAATTTTATCTTTCTCCTGCAACTTTTATCAGTAGTCGTAGATCTGGAGCTCTCTCAGAACCTCCATAGGAGTAGGAGTAACTTAATGTAGATCTGTCTCGAGAGTCGTGTAAACATCGATCACCCTCGTTCGAACTGTATTTGAAGAGGTGTGAACCGTGTCTTAGTGATCGTTGTTCAAAAAAGTCAAGGTGCATTCAATTCTCATTCAACGCAAGTTTTCTTGCCGGAAAACAATTACATTGTACAATTCGATAGATACTAACAATTAATTGATTCAATGTTTTCTAAGCAACTGGTAATATGATTCGTTTTTCATATAAAAGCCAGCAAGACAGCCTGTTTATCCCAAATATCTTTTCCCAATATAAGGCGAGTTCATACATATTTTCTTTCGATAAGCTGAACCTGGTCTCCATAGTGGCTCAAATTCAAGTAGACAGCCTGTTCTACAATTTATATATGGGGCAAAGAAATATGTGGCGAAGTTTATCTAATAGTCATATGATTTGGATTATAATATATCCGTGTACAAATACTATACTCATGAAGTATGTTGGTTGATTTTTGTTATTTAGACTAGGGTGGGCATTGGGTGGGTCGGGTGGATTTTGACCATAAAATGCACCCACACGCGCTTAAACGGATTGATAATTTTTAACCCACCACCCACCCACATTTAGTCTCGGGTTGGGTCGGGCGGATGGTGGATGATGCGGGTGGGTTTGTGGGTTCACCCACATCACAATGTATATAATATAAAGGAGTCAACTTGACATGATAATAGGTGAAGAGAATCATCGAGGGAAACAAGAAATTGAAATAGGGCGAAAAATGTCGAATTAGTTCTTAACTTGGATAGAAATTCTATTATGAAAGAGTTTTCTACAGATTGAGACGATTATTAGGTGCAAGGAACTAATGAAAATAATTCCACAAAGGAAAGAGCGGTGATCTAAGCACAAGAATTAGAGGAAAAAGTAAAGGGAAGAAGAGGGGATCTCTATTTGGAAGGTTGGCTTTGAGGTTCAAACTCCAGGAGCAGTCCGAGTTTATATCTAACGTCTCCACTCTCCTCTCTCTAGCGCCAACGACTTTGATCTTTTTGCTGTTGGGTTGAGCGGGTCACCCGCACACTCACCCACAACCCACCCACCACCCGGCGGATGGCTCCCAGCGCAACCCGTCACCCACCCACAGACCCACCCACTTAACCAAATTCGGGTCAAATGCGGGTGGGTCGGCCCAAACCCGCGGATGATCTGCCCGCATGCCCAGCCCTAATTTAGACCATGTTTAAAATTAGTTTGAGGCATGATACTATATCCTAATCTCTAAATTTTAATGGGTGAACAACAGTCATCAATTCTCTAACTCAAACCATAAAATTCATTTAATCTCAAAATAAAATCAACGATTCTGATTCGTCAGAATTATCATATTACAAATAATAGGTACATCAGGCGTACGCTAACTTTTCCCATATGTATATGGTAGAGACTAGTATACTCCAGGAGTATATTATACTCCAGATGATATGACCGTTAGATGTATTTCTATGAGCTCCGGCCAATCTCAACAGTCAATTATTGTTTTCTATTAAATTGAACTTCGAGTTTGAGTTTCATGAATCGGGGTATCGGGTTTATTCATTAGAGGTTAGGGTATAGTATCATACCTCAAACTCGGTATAATTTATAGTCTAGATAGAGATCTCTCACTAGGAGTACCTGGAGTATAGTATACTTCAAGAGTACACCAGTCTATCTAGACCAGTAATTAAACCGAGTATGAGCATGCCACTAATACCTAACCTCTAATGGATAAACCCCATGCCCCGATTATCTAAAATCAAACCTGAAGTTCAATTCAAGAAAACACAATAATTAACCTTGAGATTGGTCGAAACTCATCGAACTACATCTAACAGCCAGATCATTTGGAGCATACTATGCTCCTGGAGCATATGAGTCGTCTTCACACACACATACACATATATATGGCAAAGGCTAGCGTACAGCTGACCTACACTATACATCTGGGTTCACATCTATTATTTGTACTTTGATAATTTTAATGAATTAGAACGGTTGATATTCATTTTAAGATTAAATGGATCTTATTGTTTGGGTTAGAGAATTGGGGGCTGGGGTTCACCCATTAGAGCTTCAGGTATAGTAGCATGCTTCCAAACTTCGTTCATTCGTTGTCTAAATAACAAAAATCGGCGAGTGTACGATAAGGCAAGAAAACGCTTGGCGTACTCCGGCCTGAACCATATATATATGGCAAAGGCTAGCGTACGCTATATGTTATATGCCAGCATATGTTATATGTCTGCATTCACACTTATAAGATATACTTTGGTATATATCGACGAATCAGAACCATAGCTTATTATTTTTAGATTAAATGAATCTTATGATTTGGGTTAGAGAATTAAGGACTAGTGTTCACCTGTTAGAGGTAATGGTATAACATCATATGCCTCAAACTACGGCTAATTCTTTGTCTAAATAGCAAAGCTTGATGAGGGTATGGTATGGTTATCGTAAAATCAAAGGTATGACATTCCCTGGGTAGTAAAATGATATATAGACCTTAAAATGACTAGAGTTTGGGACATGGTACTATACCCTAACCATTTAAGATTAAAATTTAGGTCTTAATTCTATAAATCTCAAACACTAAAATCAATTTAAGTAGAAATAACAATCAACAGTCATGATTTCTCGAAATACATCCAAAAAATTATATGCATCATCTAGGTGTTTAGGGTCCATGATTTAGACAATTAAATTCTCGAAATACATCCAACAAATTTTATGTACCATCCAGGTGTTTCGGGTCCATGATTCAGAGAATTAAAATCGAGGGTTCACTCATCAAGGGTTAGGTATATCATCATTGTCCCAAAATCGATTAATTCAAGAACTTAATAGTGTTTTCTAACCAAGGGTTTTGTGTACCCTGGAGTTATCCTGGTTAGTTAAGATAGAAGGCACCCCCAACCCACACATATATAATTCGAGCTAGCATATGTCTGACATACGCTAATTATCATACACGCCAAGTTTTGCTATTTAGATCATGAATTAAATAGTGTTTTGGCTATTATGTTCAAAACTAACCTCTAATAGGCGAACTCTAATTCTCAATTATTGAAACTCAAACCCTATATCAATCTACAAATAATAACCACAAATAATAACCATTGAAACTCAAACCCTATATCAATCTACAAATAATAACCACAAATAATAACCAACGCTACTAAATCATCGAAGTACATTTAATATGTGCAAACTATTATTCGGACATACCCTACTTGGTAATTGTAATTTTTAAACCTATCATATTTATACTTTTTTGTAAAGGTCTATCATATTTAAACTTGTTTGGTAGTTGTGGATTTTCTAAGATGCAATTGGATGATAATATGTTTAATATAATATTGTAGTGTGTATTTTGTTGGCCAATTTGTTATTCTATTTATTTAGTATTTGCTTGTTTGTTATTAGTATAATTCTAGTATAATATCGATAATTCTAATATAATATAGGGTTATAGGCATAATATGCCTCTCTACTATAACGTGTTTTTTTAGGACATGTTTAATAAAACATCTACTATAGTAGAAGGGCATATTATAGCTATAGCATATTAACATCCATATCACTCTAGTACAATATTAACCAAATATTTTTTATTATAGAAACGATATTATGCCATTATGAACCGATTGAACAAGAGACCAAATTCCTCGTCCAACTTATTTCACACGATGCCATTAACATTAATCATATTTCAAACACACCGAGATTTAGATAGAGCTTAATTAATAATTAACAGATTGTGGAAGATATCAAATTATGGCTCAGAACTGCCAACCCAGGACAAGCTAGTAAAGAAAGTAGCGTGCCAAACACACCAGAAAACAATAGAGGAAAGACTCTATTCAAGAACAAACGATAATGATGGCACCAACAGAAATATGAACAGGGTAAAATTTCAAACTAAAGTGTGATCGTTTTTCCTTTTTAATTACATCTATCACTTGAAAGCACCTCTTTGATCTTTAGCTAAATGAAGAAAAAGAGGAACCAACCAACAGAAAATCAACCTTGCCTGTCCATATTCATAAGCTCTCGATGCCTACAAGAGCTAAAACCAACCGCAGAAGACAACATGTAAGACCCAATTGCATGCAACTAGAATCAGTACTTGGATAGTAATGTAGCCCACTGGCAAGGCAAAGCATTTAGCAAAAGCAAACTGGAGAGCACCTTCATCACCTTCCTCGTCATGCCTGGTTGTTGCCACCTCTTGTACGACCACCCGTCCTTCCACGGCCACGCCCATAGCCTCTGCCCCCTCCTCTCCCTCCTCCACCCCTGCCTCCTTCATATCCACCACTTCTCGCGCCTTCATATCCACCTCCTCTCTCACCGTCATATCCGCCACCCCTGCCACCTTCATATCCACTGCTCCTTTCAGTTTCATATCCACCACCTCTCCCGCCTTCATATCTGCCACCCCTGCCACCTTCATATCCACCGCCCCTCCCACTTTCATATCGACCACCTCTCCCACCTTCATATCTGCCACCCCTGCCACCTTCATATTCGCCGCCACTCCCACCTACATATCCGCCACGCCTGCCACTTTCATATCCACTGCCTCTCCCTCTTTCATATCCACCACCCCTGCCACCTACATATCCACCACCTCTCCCACCTTCATATCTGCCAGCCCTGCCGCCTTCATATCCACCACCTCTTCCCCCATCGTATCCACCACCTCTGCCTCCTCCATAACCAGCACCTTCATCACAAGCCATCAAGTGCACAACAAGATTAGAAACACTAAACAGAACAATAATCCAAATCCACAAAGATAAGTGAGCAGGAAGACAACAATTCAACACTGTAGGTGAAACACACTCCTAGCACCAAATTGACAACAAAGTTATTCCATCTTTGCGACAAAATGGGGCCAAATGGAACAAAACATTACAACAAACATAAAAGCCTTTGCATGAGGTTACCTCGATATCCCCAATTTCTGCCTCTGCCACTACCCCGTCCCCAGTTTGAATAGCCACCATTTTCTGAGATAAGAAAGTCTAATAAGAAACTGGTCTCACTCCGGAAAACCTACCAGGCTGAAGTCACTAATTTGATAAGTAGAGACTAGAAGTGGTACCTTCATAATTCCCCTGATAGCCTCCCTGATAATCCCCTTCATAGTTTCCCTGATAGTTTCCATATCCATATCCACCCCTGCCCCAGTTTCGTCCTCTCCCTCTGCCACGTCCACGTCCTCGACCATATGAATCTGTTGGCCCCGTAAAGGTAACATTATTAACAAGTTAGGATGGTGAAAATACTACTTCAACAATCAGCACCCTCAACTCCAAGCTACCTTCATAATATGGATCTCGTGCTTGCCTAAGCTGTGACTGCTGCTGATATCGCTGTTTCGACTGTTCCGCAGCTTGTGGCGCTTGATATCTATGAGTGAAGAATCACCATGACCATAATTTTCAGTAAATTACCAAGAATACAATTGTGCACACAATGATAGAAGTAGCAGAGGATCACATTACTGGAACTTGAAAAACAAAAAATCACAAGACTTACAGAAGCAAGAACATCATGTAGGATTGCATGCTTAACTCAATGAACTAAAGTTAAGCAAGCAATAGGTTGCTAAACTAATCTGCTGACATAACTATCACATATAAACAAGTGAGATACATGAACTTACCCAGGAGAGTTCTTATCTAGTTCTGTGAATGATAAGGTAATTGTGATCATAGAAACTTGGCGGGTCTGCTCCACACTGCATGGAATATTGAACTCTTAGGATTGGACAAAATAGTTGAAAGACAATCAGCAGAAAAGGCAAATCTGTAAACCCATCAAATACTCACGGCAAGAGTCCTTCCTCAATAGGTTCCCAAACATCAGTAATGCTTGCTGAGCTAATGGCAGTATCCTGGTGCAGACGGGGATTTCTTCTCTGTACGAGGACAGAAATGGCTAATCAGCCTGTGATACACAGAGTGGCAACAATTGAGATGTGAAAGGAATACTACTAAGTTTTTGTTTCAAAAGCCAAACAACCTTTATGCTCTCAGCAATGGACACCGTCTTGCTGATTGCCTGTCCCATCGCTTTCAATACAATCTCTTTTGCATGTTTGTCCTGGCAAAATTCCGAGTAAGTTTTCTGAATACATACTCTACAAGAGGAACCCACATTGTTCTGAGAATGACCTATAGCCATAGGTAAAGCAGAAAGAGAGATAAGGCCAGTTGCAAACCCCTTAACTCCAAGAAAATTCCAGTTCCCACGTCAATACAAATAAAAAAGCAAAAACAAATACGATCAACCAGTGAAAGCATTCAAAACTCCTAACACTCAGACACCTTCACACATAAGTCTCAATGGTACCAACTATGAATCCATTACAGGGGGGACATAAGAAGGAAACAAATCTTTCTGCCAAAATTAGAAACTGGAAACGCGGTAACCCACATTCAACTAAAACTAGAGGCATCCAAGTGCAGCGCAGCCCAACGCCAAATGCGAGACTGGAAGACTACCAAGCAAATGCCAGACGCCACGGAAAAGAAAAACGAACAGAACCAGGGCAACTCGTCCCCCACATCAGAAGCTAATGAAATCGTGCTGGAGGGAATATCCACATGAACAAGTTCAGAACAACCATAGGAACAATGACGAACGAAAACCTAGAGAAATGCAAAGAGAAATTGAAGGCAGAGAACGAGCCTGTGAGTAGAAGTGGAAGGGCAATAGCATAGTAAGTTATTAGTACCTGGAGAAGGGAAGTAGCGTAGCTGATATAGTTTCTGACGGGACCAGCGGAGGTGATTCGGATCTCGTTCTCGTTAATCGGCGACTCCGGCTTCGGCTTCTCGACTCTCGTGTACATATCCATGGCGGAATCTCTCGCTCGCACTCTTCTTTCTGCTTACCAAGGTCAGGTGAGGGAGGAGTTAGAACCCCTTATAAAACCCTAGAAGTAGACCACCACAGCACTGCAGAGAATCCACACAGAAGGCTTAATTCTTACTAGTTCCCTTTATAAATGAAAACAAATTAATTTGCCAAAAAGTTTTGCCTCAAAACAACTCATTTTTGTGGGCGAGAGCATGTATTTCTTTTGGAAATTTTAAACGCTTTTGGATGATGATGTGGCCCTTCACCAGTAGTGCACACATTTGGTTGATCACGCGGGCACGCAGCGAGTGACTCACACAGTTGGTTGACGTTGGTTATCCGTTCTAATCCAATGGTCTGTAATTGGCTCGTGGATTGTCGCCGAACTGTTCAATTACTGCTGATAGAAGCCTTAAAGGTAGGGGGAACAGTTTTGTTCACTATTTTCGCCTCTGCCACTTTTATAACAGATCTGGGTAAAAATTACATGCATAAAGATAAAACGACACATTGTTGGCCACAAAATTTCGGGACTCTAAATTTTAAAATTAAATTTACAAAACTACCACCCATACTTAATTAAAAACCGCATCGGAAGACGGTTTACCATGGAACCGCCTGCCAGACGAGCGGTTTGTGTTTTTTGGAAAAAACGTTCTACGAAGGAGCGGTTTCCATGACTGCCCTAGCACAAACCGCGTTCTCTGGGAGCGGTTATGTGTCGGCAACATAAAACGATCCACAGGAAAGCAGTTTTGCTATGTCGATGCACAAACCGCCCCCCCCCCCATCCAGCGGTTTGTGCCTCGTCACCCGACATCCGACATGTCGGCATGCAGGAGGTTGCAGGGGTGGGGGCTGCATGCCAGACTAAAATCGTTCCCCCTGCGGTTTTCAGTGTAAAATTTGCCTATAAATGGCAGCTCTAGACAACTCAAAATCTTCACTCCTCTCCTTCTTCTTCAAATTTCAGTTGTGCACCTTTAAATTTTTTAGGTTTTGCGATTAACGTTAATTCATAAGTTTGTTTTGTACTACTTTTCATTGTCATTTGTGATTTTTATGGTAGTAGCTTAATTACAGTTTTATTGCAGATGGCATTCCAAAAGTTCACGCTTGGGTTACGGTGGAATGGTTACACGGAAGACCGGAGAGGGTATAAGTTATGTGGGTGACAATTTTTATAAAATGAAGGTCCGTACGAGACCGATGCTTGAAGAGCTCCATCAAATGTGCGCTGAGGTTACCTGCATGGATACACTAGTAGAATTGATCGTATGGTGTATCGATATCCAAACAGACGTGGCGGGTCATTGTAGAATGAGGAATTTCTCATTACCATTCAGGAGGACGTTGATGCCATGGTCAAAATTTTGACCACCAATAACATTAAACAAGCGGAGATGTTCGTTTACACCGAGTCGGTCGAAGGCGGTGTAGGTCATTCTGGAGATGACCAAACATCTGGTATCCATAGTGGGGTGTATTATACGAAGATCATCCCCACCAGGAGTACCAAGACTCAAGCTAGTGCCAGGAGTATCATGATGGAACTGGAGGTCATCATCAATCCTTCCCAGCATATGAAGAAGAAGCTCAACAGGCGGATCAGAACCAACAAGCAGGCTACCAGTACCAACCCGAGTACAACTTCTACCAAGGCGGTGGTAGTTATCACAACTACCATTACGGAGCTAATGAAGGTGCCTTTCATGATCTTGATCAGATGGAAGATGTCAATCCAAGTCCAGTTAGTGACCCTGAGGTTAAAGAAGAGGAAGGCGATGTCAGTGCAGACAACTTCGATCCTCTTGAAGGTGTTGATGATTCTGGTCCAGATTCAGACGCAGACGATGATGAGGTGCCTCGCGACCGTGAACCTATCGCGTACTACAATCACATTCCAAATGAAGATTGGTATGTTGATGTTGATATGGAGCCGCTAGAGGTGCCAGTATGTGGTCTACTCACTAGCTTTACGAAGGGCCAACAATTTGCAACGAAGAATGAGGTGCGACACTCTATTGCCACTGAAGCAATGGCTCGAAGTTTTGAATGGCACACAACCCATTCTGACACGAAGAGGCTGATGGTTAGATTCCAAAATCAACACGAGGGATGCAAGGCTAGGGTCCGGGCCATCAAGAGTAAGAGAGTCGGCCATTGGGTCATATCCCGTGCGGTGAACACTCACACATGTGTGTCATCCATAACATCCCAAGGCCATCGACAGTTGAAATCAAGGGTGGTTGCTGCGGCTATCAAACATCTAATTGAGGAGCAGCCCGACCTGAATGTTAAAACCATCATCGCCGACATTTCTAGTCATTATGGATATATCATTAACTACAAGAAGGTGTGGCATGGAAAACATAAAGCAATGGCCGTCGTGTTTGGTAACTGGGAAGAATCATATGCATTCCTTTCCAGATTGATTTTGGCTATGGAGGGGTCTAACCTTGGCACCATTTTCTCTCCCCGCTACCAAGATGAAGAAATTCAGCCGCCGGTGCCTGGTAACAAGCGTCTTTTCTGGTCATTCAAGCCATGTAATGATGGTTTTCCATTCTGTGTTCCTGTGATTCAAGTTGATGGAACATTCCTTACCAGCAAGTACAAGGGTACTCTACTGATCTCCAGCAGAGCAGATGCAAAATAGAGCAGTATATCCTTGTTTGGGGAGAGAATACCGACAGCTATTGATGGTTCTTCAGACAAATTCAACTCCACGTCACCAGGTGGACGAACCTAACCATCATCTCTGATCGCCACGCCGGTATAAGGGCTGCCATCTTAGGCTTGGATCCAGCTTGGAAGTGGTCACAGAGATGGTGCATACGGTATTTCACGAGCAACTGGAACCATCATTTCAAGCGAAAGAAGCTTGCTAATAGTCTATGGTGAACCGGTAAGAGTTCTATTTCATTGGTCTAATAATTTTGTTAACTGGAAAAATGATACTAAATCAATACAATACAACACTTATTTAGACTCTTTATAAAGCAATGCATGCCTAGGGAAATGGGGTTTTAAGCGATCATCATGATCCTCCCATTTCCTGGGAAAATCGGGTTCTAAGCGATCCTCGGATCCCCCCTTTTTCTGTCAAACAAGTTGTGTTTCTAAGGAGATGTATACCTCTCCTAAGAGTCTTACGAGTGTCTTTAAGTGTGATGGTGCACTCGCCTTCACGAAAATTCAAGCAATGTGTCTCCTTTTGCCATCTCTCTACCAATGTTGTGATGAGTTGGCGGTCGATCTTTATTCCATTAAAGTGCCTAATCGGAGACGTCGTTCCATTCAAGCACATTCGCCGTACCCAGTGCAGTCAAAATCGCGTATTAAAACGTAAAAACTTACATTTTTACGTATCCAGGCCACCAAAACGTTTCAGTTTCTACCTAAAGTCTCTTAGTCACAAAAACTGGTAAAAACATGGGTAAAATTGCGATTCTGAAGCGTCTTTATATGATTTTGATCATCTCATAAAAATGTGCTAATTGGCCCAAAATGATGTGATTTTGGAGACACATCAGCAAAAAATAAAAAAAAGGAAAACTTGATTCATCACTCGTTCTACAACTAGTGTCGAGATAGGGGATTCACATTATGTTGAAAAGACACATAATTGTATTCTCAACAGCCACTGACCTTCTATCAGTCTTCTCCCTTAATCTTCACCTATGGCTCTTACCTGGGTTACGATAAAATTTTATTGGTAATTGATCGTATGTAATTATGTAAACTCAAACCAACTTATGAGAATTTGGATTCTCAAGCTCGTTTACGGGTTACGATATACATTTATGAGCTTATTATTAAGATGTTATGAGTTTTCTCTACTTTTGAGTCAACACAAATTAGTTTATGTGTTAGATATTACATTTTAATTATGAATTTAATGTAGTTATTCACTTATCTAAAATCTACACACTCACATTTTACATACTATGTTGTACTTAACATATTTTAGCTATTTTAGAGGGTGCGTCAAAAACTTACGCTTTTACGCTTTGATTCTACGTTTTACGATTTTACCCATTTTCCACTCTAGGTAGAATCGCGCTTTTAACTGCATTGACCGTACCCCTATAACGGACTATATGGTATGCATCCTAGAGAAGAATTTAACTTTCACTATAAGTTTATGATTTATACATATATAAATCTATTATAACAAACAATATAAATTAATGAAGTCAAGGCTGTTTTCGAGAACTATACATAATTTAATTAAAATTAATATTAAGCTAACTAAAATAATTAACTAAAATGAATACCATTTTCGAAATTTAAGTAAAATTATTTTTGTACACATAGTCACCTACACATAAAATCAAATCAAATATATTATTTTGTACTTCGTATTGATTGTTTTCAATAATTTAAAGCAATACAAGTACACTCGTGAGATTCTTAGGAGAGGTATACATCTCCTTAGAAACACAGTCTGTTTGACAGAAAAAGGGGGATTCGAGGATCGATTAGAACCCGATTTTCTCATGAAATGGGAGGAGATGATCGCTTAAGACCCCATTTCCTTATACATGCATTTCTTTATAAAGAGTCTAAACAAGTGTTGTATTGTGTCGATTTATTGAAAATAATCAATAAGATTAACAATTAAGTAATTTATTGTACAAACAAATAAATTACTTTAACAAAATAAAAATTACAAGTGATGATAAATAATATGTACCCTGTGGTCGTTCCAAACGTTCCTTGAACAGTGATGGGATTGGTCGTATAAAACAGTTGGATCAATCGGTCCTTGATCAACATAATATCGTTGATTGTATATATCAACATCCGGCCCAACCTACGATAGCATAACAACATAAATAAGTTAGTGTATAAATTAAATAAAATCATTACAACAATAACAAAAATTAGGTAAAATGAGTACGTACCGCTTGATAGTAATCATAGTAAATACCCTCTTCTTCGACAAAATCGGTCATTTTTTCAGGATCCGGACAGAGATTAGACGATTTTTTAATGAAAATCAAAGAAAAGTTTTTTGAAGGCAGATCAGATTTAGCCGCAACCAATAAAACAACTACTTTCAAGGTTTTTGGGTGGGGGGATGGGTAGAGTGAGAAACTTAGAGAGAGAGAGAGAGAGGAGATTGGTTTTGGTGTGCAGAAAATGAGAGGAAGGGGGTGGGTATTTATAGGTGGAGGACCGCAT